GAAAGAAGCAGGCACCATGTGAACCTCACATGCCTATTTCTTTTCTTGAAGCCTCCATTCAGCGGAGTCACTCCTTTCCTGTGGAGAAGAGTGGGTGAAGGGATAGCAATAGGCCTGGTCTGTTACTGCAGAGGGTTCTCTCCGCATGGAAGGAAACACTGGGAGTAGGAAATGAGTATCTCCCTGTTGGAAGCAGCCCTCTGTATTGAGTGCTTCATTTCTTTCCTTTCCAGACTGGGATTCTTGAAGCAGAGACACTCCCAACACCCATCCCAGGGCCTGGCACACAGTAGATGTTTAGGAAGAGGAGGAATGAATGAACTCCCATCTTCTAATGCCAGTGTTTTTCTAAAGGAGCAATTTTCTGGGGCTGAAAAGGATACCTTTTCCCTCTCATTTTATCCCCCTCATTGCATCGTGTTTTCCATGTCCTCACCCTTTTCTGTATTATGGAGGACAGAGAAGGAGTGAGGTGTTGCTGGATGATTCAGGGAACATTTTTCCTCAGGTCATGCTGTTCTTCCCACCCTTCCCAGGCCAAGCCCTGTGTATGAACAGGTAAAGGGAGTTGTGGGTGCTGCATGGGAAGAGGCAGCCCCAAGCCCTGGTCCTGATACCCCATCTGTGATGCATGACAATGCCTGCCTTACCCACCTTGGTGAGATTTGCTGACAGCAGAATTGGGAAGTCACTTTGGAAAGTGGAAAGTACTTTGTCGGCATAAAGCAGTGGGATCTGTGGAAATGTGTTAGAGGACATTCATGTCAGTTAAGTGGTAAAAGATGGTCCAGACCCCACCAGGGTGGCAGAGGAGGGCAGTGCCTCTACAGGCATTCCCTGGTAGTGTTCCACATGTTTTGTTTTTGTTTTTGGTGAAATTGGAGGTTATGTCCCAATGGGAGCTAGATTCCCAGGCTGGCCCACAAAAGCCTTTATGACTCATCACATAATAATATGTGTAAGTATCTACTAAGTTCTAGGTATGTGCTAGACATATTAAATACATTATCTCAGTTCTTACAATAACCCATCAAAGGATAATTGACCCCCTTTTTACCAGCAAAGATGTTGAGACTTATCAAGATCAAATTACTTGCCCAAAGTCATGCAGCTAGTGAGTACTGGAGCTGACCCACAGTCAGGGATCATAAGCATGATGCTATAGCATCCTTCTGGTGGAGGATGGGAACACTGTGAGCACCAGGGATGGGGAGAGCTGAGGAGTTTGGAGGGACTGCAGATCTTCCATGGAGATCATCTGTAAAGTCAGCTGCTCACAGTCACCTGGCCATGAGCCACCCCTACCCAGAGAGAGGAGTGGCTTCTTCACTCCCAGCTCTTTCTGAGTTCCAGAGGGAGGTCAGTGCTGGCCTAGAGATGCCAGTCTTGTCTTCAGAGATTCTGGAGGAATGAAGCAAACAGGATCCTGACTGAGGCAAGGGGGGTTCTCCAGGGTGCTGGCTCCAGTGTCGGAAGCCCTATGACTCCAGGCCACTGGCCCAGGAGGATTAATATGCCATCAAATCTGACCCTCTACAGGGGCCGAAAATTGGCAATTTTTTGGAAATCTTTCAGCCTAACCAAGGACCTGACAACTGTAGTCATTCAGTTAGAATTTAATACTTCTATATGGAAAGTTGAAACTTTTAGATACTAGGATGAACATTTGGATATTCAATGTGGGAATATCTCTTTTCTGTCATTTTTATCTATCCTAACCCCACAGGTTTCGTGGACAGGGGACTAAGAGAACAATAGACTTAAGGTTCCATATAGGTGAGAAATACTAAACAGGAATTAGACTTGGTATAGAATGACTGATGTGCTGTTCACCTTTGGGATTTGTTGCTGCCTTTGCGGATTTAGGGTCTGTCTCTGGAGATGTGTTGCAGTAATTCTCCCTGGCTGAGATTCTACCTGTGTTGGAATCAACTTAGGGGAAATGGTTTTTGTTGTGTCACCAACTTTCAAGTGCCAGCTCCTCTTCCCTGGCAGGGTTCACCCAGTTCCCTCTGTACCCTAGCTCTGACTGTGCAGAACTAATGGGAGTTAAGGTCATGACTATCCATTATGCATTTATTGGGTGCCAGGTACTGTGCTAAGCCCTCGATCTTCATCACCTCATTTGTCCTAACGACAGAGGAAGGCTATTATCAGGCCACCGTTCCCTGACTCCACCACCACCTTTCTCAACACCAGTCTCAGCTCAGCTCTGTCTCCTTCCTGGCCCTTTTAACCTTTGATTAATCTCTCCTTCCTCTGTGTTTCAGTCACACTCATACGTATCCCTGGCGTAACATACACATCTTGTGGCACTGTGATAATTAGTCTGTAAGTTTACTCATCCATTCTTCTGTTCAACACATTTTAGTGAGTGCCTCCTGTGTATTGTCTGTTGCCCTTTTTGGACTTGGAGTTCCTTTACAGCAAGAGACCATGCCTTGTTCTTGCTGTGTTCCCAGCACATACCACTGTACCTGGCTCACAGTAGATCCTGAGGAAATATTTGCTAAGAGAAGGCCTCTATGTGATGTCTAGTCCTAAAACAATCTTCTTTCAGTCCTTCCAGCCCCAGGCACTAGAAAATGGGAAATTTGTCCCTTAGCTCTTAGCTTGGTGGAGAAACGCAGCTGGGATTCTGGGTGTCTGACTCTTCAGCGGTCCACCTTACTAGAGCTACAGTTAACTCCAAAGAGCCAGTAATACTAGCATCATTTCCCATGAGCTGTGGGTGTTTATTCTTTTTTTTTTTCCAGTAGGTGTTGAACACTCGATAGGTATCAGGCTATGTGCTGGGAGCTAGAGCCACAGAGTTGAATAAGACACACACACACACAAGACCTACAACCTAAAGAGATCATCAGCCTCAATGGAGAGGTGATGAGTTAAGGTTGAAACAGGTTAAGTACCATGGTTCATTTAGAGCACTGCTGGGGAGATTATTTAGGAGAAGGTGAGATTAGAGAAAGCTGCCTAGAGAAGATGTCATTTGAGCTGAGCCCTGAAGAGGAGTAGGATTTGGACTTGGGGAAGTAGGAAGAAAAAAAATGTCTGTATGAGCAATGGCATAAAAGTGGTAGGTTGTGTTTTGAGGGAGCACAAATGTCATTCAGATAATTAATTTGTCAGTAATTGGCAGGGTGAAACAAGGGTGACCCTCATTGCCATGGGCATATCACTATGATGTTTTTATTTCCTTCTCCTACCACTTCTTCCTCCTACTCAAAAAATGGTTCTGCTATTGACAGACTTGGTCCCTTAAAAAACAGGGGTGGGAGAACCTTCCGTGGAGTGAAACCCTGTCCAGATAGTCACATGGGGTTCTTAGTCCTTCAGCCCACACCCAAATGCACACACTGGGACCCTGTGTATAAAGGCCCCTCTACCTCTCAGCCATGTGCTGGGAAGGAGCCTCCAGAGGCCTCCCAGCCCACCCATGAGTTTCTAGAAGATGGAGATACTGAAGGCAGCTGCCTCACTCCATCAGCAGGAGGAGGCCAGCGAGGCAGATTAGTCACTCACATCATTTTATCTGTTGAGTCAACATCTATTTTTAGGTGTGGAACCCATAAAGGGACCTGGCATGTCTGTCATGGAAAGGGGGAGAGTGCCATGGATGAGGGTTCTGCTCATCCTTCATCTTCTTTGCTAGACCCATTCTCTTCCCTGAAGGTCACAGAAGCAAGGCCCACTTTACTGCTGGAGGTTTAGGTCTTAATGTCAAAGGTCTGGTTTAACGTGTTCAATTCCTTTTGCACACATGCTTTTGTGTGTGTGTGCGCACACACACACACTCTCACCCCTACAGTCTTAATAGGTCTTATGAATCAGTTATATGGATTAAATAAAACTTCCAACTGAAAAATGCTAAGGCATACAGGTCTCTTCCTGTTCAACGTTGTCAGATGTGCTCTGAAATGACTGTTTTCATCATCTATTCTGAGCCATAACCACCCCAGAAATAGCTTTAGCAGGAAAGTGCTTTTGTTAGACTAGCTGTAAATTATATTTCAAATGTCTGATGTTGTTTTCTTAAAAAATAAATAAATAAGTAAATGAAAGTCTAAAATTAATGACTGCTGGGGTTTGCTTTGCTTATGTGTACTGCTACAGATTTGGCTTCTTGCAGATGGAATTTCAGATCTGTTTACACTTCTGTGTTAGCTTTTTGGGGGAAAAAAAGCAGTTGAGAGATCTGGGAGGACAAATTTACAAAGTCGAACTTATTATAACCATTGGTGAGGCTCTCTTCTCTCTCTCTACTGCCCTTTCCCTCCCTCCTTTCCATCGTGCCCCCATTTTGTTTGTTGTGGTTTTTATCTGCCCTGCTTCAAAGTTAGAGGCAACTGGTCCTTGCAGATGTGACAACAAGGTCACATATCCAGTTTCGCAAGCAGATGTTCATTCAGCCCTATTTCACCAGCACTTTGTCATTCGTTAAAGAGCAGACCTCATGGGAGCAGACTGGAGCAACACAAAGGATGGAACATAAAAAAAATCTTGCAGAAAACCTGATTGCTTTTATGTATTCAGGAAGAAGGTGATGGGGGTAGGGAGGGTGGCAAGGAGAGAAATGTGCAGAGCAGAATTTCATGAGGTTTTTTTTTTTTTTTTTTTTGGTTTATTCAAAGATTATTATGTGTTGGATACAGTAAATCATCTATACACCCACATCCAGGAGGTAAATCTTCAGAACTCCATGCGTGGGTAGCTCTGCATTTAACAGCTGCCATACAGTAGCTATTTTGTTCTGCACTTAGAGACCCTTATCTGTGCATTTGTTTTAAGTTATCATCAACTCTCCTCTTGTTCCTCTATTGCTGTTCTCCTGGTTCTCATTACTATTAGAAGAGTAGCTAAAAATCTGAACTACTGAGTGATTTAAACTGACACCATTAGTTGTAACGGTAGATGAGGGACTGTCATCTTGTTTGTGGACTCGGCGTCTACTCTGAGGGTAATTGCCTATAATGGAATTAGCTCCTCTTGCCTTTTCCTAGGTCTCATATGCCCGTCCGAGCTCTGCCTCAATCAGGGATGCTAACCTCTATGTTAGCGGCCTTCCCAAAACCATGACCCAGAAGGAACTGGAGCAGCTTTTCTCGCAATACGGCCGTATCATCACCTCACGAATCCTGGTTGATCAAGTCACAGGTTAAGTGTTTCTTTGTAATTTCTTTCTGTGTATATCAATGTCATCAGCCCTGTTACTCATAAGAGCAGAAGGCTGATGGCTGCTTAAGGCAAATGATATGGATCATGAATAGACAGATTTTTGACTTGGAAGAAAGAATTCTTATCGGTCAACTGCCCAAATTTAAAATGGGCCATCTTGGGAGGTAGTTCTCCATCATGGGACTTGTTTTAGCAGCAGCTAAACTACTTGGCAGGGTTGTAAAAAGGATTCAGGCATCAGGTTGAGAGTCGAACTGTATGACCTTCAAAGTCTTTTTCAGCCCTCAACCAAATAACATTACTTTTGTATGTGAAAATAACCTGTATGCGTAGCTATAACTCCAACTCATGGCATTATAGAGTTAGGAATTGTCCCATTTCACACATGAGAAAACAGATTGAAAGTGGGGGATCTAACTCCCCAAAGCTAGTGAGTAGCAGTACAGGGATCTGAACTCAGGATCTGGTACTGGGGTTCTTTGTCTACAATAAAGAAAGGCAGCCACCACCTCTCAGTAAGAAATGTCAGGTACTCTAGGTTGCATTTTTAATGACAAGGTGTTTTCGCCTACCTCCAATTTGATTCCAATTTAGAACTCACCCCCTGAGAATAGTTTAGCATGTTTATCATATGATTCATGAGACAAACCTTCACAGAAGCTGGCTCTGCCCCAGACATTTTGCAGAGAGACACTGGAGACCAAGAATGAACAGGCACTGCCCCACCCTTACAGGACTCCAGTGTGGAGTCCAAATACTTGCTAGAAGCTGTCAAGTGCCCCTGAGAGCTCAGGAGAAGGTGTGCCATGCCTGGTGGGAATTGCTGGGAAGGCCCCATTGAGGAGGCAATGTTTGATTAGGGGTTGGGAGGATGTTTCAAAGGTATCCAGCAAAAAAGGAGGGACAGAGCATTCTAGGTGGAGAGGAGAGCATAACCCAAGGCATGGAATCGAGGAAGAACACAGTCTATTCAAGGAGCATCAGGCAGTTCATGGTGGCTGGTGTGAGCCTCAATAGGGAATTTGGGGCCAGATTGTCAGAGGCATTGAATCTTGTACCAATAAGTCTAGAGTTTATCTGGGTGCAGAATGGAGCCATGGAAGGGTATTTTGTAGGTTTTGTTTGTTTTTCATTTTAGAATGGGAGTCAGTGAAGAATAGGTACTATGTACAAGGTACAAAATTTAAAAAGTACAAAAGAGCTATAGAAGATGTTTTTAAAGTATGTGATGTGGTCAGAGTTCACTTTTCAAATAGATTGCACACTCGCTACATGTGGAGGACACATGAGAAGACTAGAAACTGGACTGTGAGTGATCAGTTATAGTAACTTTTGGGAGGTGAGGATGGAGCAGGGCAGTGGTAGAGGACCAGAGGGGCCAGATGCAAGAGATCCCTATGTCCTATGGCTGAGAGGCATCAGTCCAGAGCCATGATGGCAGGAATGCAGGTAAATGTGTTTTGATGGGTGAGAGAGATCAGGGAGCTGGGCTCAGCCGTGGCCCCACAGGTGGGTTTACTCCTCACACAATATCCATCGGACCCATCTCTTCCCGAAGATGTTTACCAGTTTGGTGTGTTCACTCTTTACAAAGGCTCTTTCTCTTTCCCCAGGAGTGTCCAGAGGGGTGGGATTCATCCGCTTTGATAAGAGGATCGAGGCAGAAGAAGCCATCAAAGGGCTGAATGGCCAGAAGCCCAGCGGTGCTACGGAACCGATTACTGTGAAGTTTGCCAACAACCCCAGCCAGAAGTCCAGCCAGGCCCTGCTCTCCCAGCTCTACCAGTCCCCCAACCGGCGCTACCCAGGTCCGCTTCACCACCAGGCTCAGAGGTTCAGGTAGGCATGCCCAAGAGGAAGAAGCCCTGCTATAGGGGTTCAGAGCTGGGCAAGAGCCAGGGAAGCCCATGGTCCTGACAAATGGGGCAAGGGTAAAAGCTTCCACCACCAGGAATCAGTGTGCAAAACTCCCCCCAAGCCTCAGTTTCCATTCCTGTAAAATGAGACGGTTGGAACAGATGCCCTTCTAAGCCCTTTTCCAATTTACTACTGTGACTGTATAAACTTCAGATTCTTTGGTAGAAACAAAATTTCTGTATTTAACCAAACATGAAGGTTCAGTTTCAACAACAGTTTATCACAGATCAGTGACCACATTCAGCAGATTAGACTTAAGGCTGGACAATGGCTTTTAATAAATTTAAAAAATAGACCATAAGGCAGATCCTTGCCAGAGGGAGTGGTTTTTCCTGTCTTCTTTTCCCTCGGCAGGTAACTCTGTTGAGTTCAGGGGACGGGGGACTGTCTAAGGTGTTAACCTTATTATGTTAAGTCAGTAGATTCTGGGAAGACAGGGAGGAAGATCCTGTCCAAGCCTGATTAGTGTTTATTTTGAGTACCCAACTCCCAGGAAGCTCCTGGGGCAGGGGGGCATTGCCCTTCTCCTGGGACTTTCCTAAAGACAGGTTTCTCTCCATGAAGGCAGTATGACCTTGACTGGTCTCTATTATACAAGAGATAAAAATATTTGTGACTTACCCATGATAAATTCTAAACAATTATTTTATTCCACACCACATCCCAGCCTCCCTTTGATGAAAATGTTTTTCTCTTTGAGAAACTTCACGTGGGAAATAGTAGGTCCTTCTATCTAGGATAGTATGCTCCATCTGGCTACATGAGGAGAAAAATCATCCTCTTTCGTGTCCTCCTATGCCCTGTGAATTTGAAATGGTTAATGATTTCATGAAGAGTCCAAGTCATCTAATTTTTATTTTGCATGAGAGCACATGCAGTATTTATGTAAAAGCCTCTCCAGCAGACTTCTAATGGTGGAAACTATGGTTACTACTGCCCTATGGTGTGAATAGCTTGTCCGCAAGTAAGGTACTGAATGTGAGGAAGATTATAGCATAATGGCAGTTTGCTGGGAGGTGCTATCAGGCAGTAAACAGTAAGCTACTTTTTAAAAATCTTAACCTGCAAACTCCCCCCTGCCTCCCAAAAATGTGTGTAGTAAGATGATTTAGTTAATATAGCAAGGCTAACAGAAAATATCCGTTCCGATACATATTGTGTGCCTGTGTATTGTTAATTTGGAACAGAGACCTTTATTTACAAGTTTAATTATAGTAAAAAGGTGAACAATTTAAGAAGCCCCCACTTTGAAAAATTTCACATACAATGTAAAACAAAATCCACACAAACGTTCTGAGAGGTGGGGGGAATGGTATTAATTCAGATCTTGAAAGAAAGGGAGACTCGTTAGACACTTGCTTTAAACTCTAGCATTGACCCGAACATGAATTACTTGCAGTTAGAGACAGAAAAGGGGGAAACTACCGGTGGAGAGACTCCCAAGCAGTGGGGAAAGTTGTTGAGCTTTTCTTCTTTGAAAATGGAGCATTCTTATTAATAGTTCCATTGAGCGATCTTGCCATCTGTGAGGCATTAACCCAGAGACCCTCCTTCTCTTTGCAGGCTGGACAATTTGCTTAATATGGCCTATGGCGTAAAGAGGTAATTAAAACTCCACAGATTGCCAGATGTCCATGTTGGCACAGACTGGGGCTAGAATTTTTTTTTTTTTAATTCACTAACTTTACTTTAAAAAAAAATTCCTCCTTTTTCTTCCACCAGCATGTCAAATTCTTAATTTTAATTTCGGACCTCAGTTGATTTTGTTTCTTTTAGGGCACACAAAATGTATTTGTGTGTTTCACTTTTTCTTTTATTTGCAGGTGGGCTTCTCCTATGGTTCAGGTGCCACAGCTACCAAGCCCTTAATAATCTGGTCCTTTGAATGGCTCCCCTAAGGGGAAAGGCTCCGACTCTTTGCTGGCTGGTTTTGCAAACTTGCATAGCAAACTATTTTGCATTAGTAATGCCAAGATTCAGTTAAGAGGGCAGATTCCAACAAATCAGAATTAGAACATTTTGCTAATTGTGGTTGACAATCTTATGATTTTTCAGTAGAAAAATTAGATTTTGGACTACCAGCTCTGGCCAAAGGATAAACAAACACAAGGATGACTTTCTTGCTCCTGCCCCCACTTCAGTGTGCATTTCAGAGCACATCCTGAGAATGAAGTGTATCTGTGTGCACCTCAACCAGGGGTTTCTTTTGTTACAGGTTTTAACAGTTATTATAAATCCTCCCTTGGTTATATGTTATGTGTGTTTTAAACTTGCTGTTCCTTTCACTGAAAGGCTTTTTGTGGGGTTGGGGGCCCAGAGTCAAGGCTTTTGGGGCTCTCTGAAGGCAGATTCAAAGGTTTTCCAGACCCAGTGTGAAATCTGAATCTTGGAAAGTTGGGTGTGTGATGTCACTGTGTCCATGAGATTCCCGTATGTGCTTCTGATAAGCTCCACTGCACTGCTAGGGACATAGTGTCTTCATCATCTTGCTCAGTAGAGCTGCACACTTTAATTCCCCTTCCTACAGTCAAGGGAAAGAGATGTAGTCTTTAATAGTCCACATCACACTCCCAGTTCTTTCACTGGCCATGCATGGTAAGTACCCTGACTCTGGGAACTGGTGCACAGTAGAGGAAGTAACCTGACTGCAGACTTCACTTCAGAGGACCAGCCTCTCAAATCTCAATCCCAACATCAATGAAGATAACTATGAGTTATCTCCACATTTCCAGCACACTGTATGCCTGTTCCCAGGGATTTTACATCTTTCCTAGCTCTATCTCATTCCTTTGCTCCTCTCTGATGTTAGTGAGGTGGTGCTAAATGTTATGAAAAGAGAAATGCTTATAACATAGATAAGATAGGGGAAGACACAGCTGTGGTAGGCCTGCCGCCACCTCCTCCACTGCCCCACCCAGAGTAAACATCACTGGCTGATAATAGCATTCTCTTTTCCTATTGAACCCAGATTTGGATTTAGAATACTTCCTACCAAAATGCCGCAATTAACTGTCACCAACTAGGATAAAGGCTGTACTTGCAATCTCTTTGCTGGCCCTGACCTTTGACTTATAATAAATACTTAGCTGTTTTCCACCTATAAACAGAAACAGGTCAATTCACCAGGGTCAACTCCCCTGGTTGGAGGAGAGAAGATTAAAAAGACAATCTTCAGAAATGATACAAGTTACAAATTGTCATGGATTTGCACTTCTAAGAATCTACACCATAATATTTTTTGGCTTTTTCTTGTTAATTGTTTTTAAACAAGAGAGAAGATTGACTTAGTGAATAATAGCAAAAATATTGTCTATTGAGTCGTTAGATTTAGCATATATTCAGTAGCCATTTGATTATCCAAATTCTAGTTAGATACAGAACTATTATTTAAGAGGACTTTCAAATCTCCAAGAATATTTGCTTATTTTTAAAAACAGTTGTAGCTCACACTTTATACCATGCTCGTCCCTAGTTTTTGCTTTCTCTCCTTTTCCTATCTCCCCCAGTAAAACCCCGGCCAAATGAAAAGCAAGAAACTATTCAGTGTATAGCATCAAAAATCCCTATATAAGATCATGCCTGTAATCCCAGCATTTTGGGAGGCCAAGGTGGGTGGATCACCTGAGGTCAGAACTTCAAGACCAGCCTGGCCAACATGGCAAAACCCCGTTCTACTAAAAATACAAAATTATCAGCCAGGCGTGGCAGTGCATGCCTGTAGTCCCAGCTACTCAGGAGGCTGAGGCACGAGAATCTCTTGAATCCGGGAGGCAGGGGTTACAGTGAGCCGAGATAGCACCACTGCACTCCAGCCTGGGTGACAGAGTGAGACTCCATCTCAACAATAAAAAATAAAAAATAAAAAATCCCTATATAAACTTTGATGTGAAACAAGACATTAACAAATATTGTTCTGCTGTAGGCACTGGTAACCTAGTTGTTTCATCTGGTGCATCCATCACAAATCACACAAGGATTTATTTCATCAGACAGTGAATCAAATTTAAAGGGTCATTTTTTTCTTTTCAGGATTACACAAAAACTGAGAAGATTTCTAAGCCTAATACAAAAGCAGTTGTAATAGGGCAAATAACAATTTTATGCTTTTCTAATGTACAGCAATTCAAGATATATAAATGCACAAACCACTTGAAGTCTTGCTCCAATGATGCTTGGGAAAAAATTCCAGATAACATAGCATAAAGGAGTAATACATCTTTATTATTATTGCTTGAGTTTGTAGGGGAAACCCTTTTGGATAAATGCTAAATGAAACATGAACCACCCATCTGTTTAACAGCAAGACATGCCTGTTCATTGTCACGTATCTCCATCCTCACCAAGAAACCTTTGACAACCATAGGTCAAGGGAATGCAAAAATGGTAGACTTAAGCACTTTAGGGCCATCTCCTAATCTGCCTTTAAAAAGAAAAAAATGAAATTTCCCAAGCACTGGCCAAAGTTAGTCACTTATTCAACCAATAAATATTTATTGAGCATTTTCTATGTGTCACTGTATCTGTGAGATTCCCATATGTGCTCCACTGAATAAACAAATAGAGCCACAGAATGAATGAAATAGACCCTTTCCCCCAAGAGCACATTGTCTATTGTTGGGGTGGGGTGGAGTCAGGGTGGGGTGTGCTCTGAGCATCTACTGTGATAGAACTATTATAGAGCCTTGCTCTGGGAGCCCTGGGAGTCCCTCATGGTTTTTAGAAATGGACCTAGATCTTTCTCTCAGCATGAACATACCCTAGCCAGTCAAGCCATTCCCATCAGAGGAAATTACATAGACATTAGTTTTTACATTTTGGTTTTTGAACCCTGAAGACTCTCCTGCAAACACTCACTCAGCCCTCTGCCCCGTGTCTGTGTCTGTGCATCTGTGTGTTATCCTTGGTCAGACTGATGTCTGGACCAGTCCCCCCTTCTGCTTGTCCCCCCAGGTTCTCCCCAATTACCATTGATGGAATGACAAGCCTTGTGGGAATGAACATCCCTGGTCACACAGGAACTGGGTGGTGCATCTTTGTCTACAACCTGTCCCCTGATTCCGATGAGAGTGTCCTCTGGCAGCTCTTTGGCCCCTTTGGAGCAGTGAACAACGTCAAGGTGATCCGTGACTTCAACACCAACAAGTGCAAGGGATTTGGCTTTGTCACCATGACCAACTATGATGAGGCGGCCATGGCCATCGCCAGCCTCAACGGGTACCGCCTGGGAGACAGAGTGTTGCAAGTTTCCTTTAAAACCAACAAAGCCCACAAGTCCTGAATTTCCCATTCTTATTTACTAAAATATATATAGAAATATATACGAACAAAACACACGCGCGCACACACACACATACACAAAAGAGAGAGAAACAAACTTTTCAAGGCTTATATTCAACCATGGACTTTATAAGCCAGTGTTGCCTAAGTATTAAAACATTGGATTATCCTGAGGTGTACCAGGAAAGGATTTTATAATGCTTAGAAAAAAAGAAAAACAAAAAAACAAAAAAATACCTTTGATGCATTGAATGTTCTTTCATAGCTGTCGTTGTTGAATATAATATACATAGATAGCGATGTGCAGGGATTTTTACCCAGCCAGCTAACTTTACTACCTTCCTTGAAGGTGGATCTTTTTAAGATGACCATTCGCTCATTTGAAGAAGAAAAACAAAAAACAAAAAAAATAATAAAAATAAAACAATTTTTACAAAGTAATGGGATTCAAAGAAAGGAAAAAAAGATTTTTCTTTTTTGTCAAAATGTCGATTCAATCAGATTGGTAAAAACCCCCACACAAATTAAAGAGGAATAATAAAAATTGCAAAAATAAAAAAAAAAAACTTTTGCAAATTTTTTTATTTTTCCTTTTTTCTTTTATATCATGTGAACTAAAACAGTCTTCTGTTAGGGGATGGGGGCAAGGGGGATACCTGATGACATTAACAATTTAATAACATTAACATTGTTGCCAAAGAGGTGGTCTCTTTGCTGAAAATGGGTTTCAAGAAAAATCTATTTTTATAAAATATAAAGAATTTTTACAAGAGAATCTGGATTTGAGAAAAAAATATTTTGACTGGCTAATTTAGGGGAAATTGACAACTTTGTCGCGTTCATACTGCACTGGTAACTTTTTAGAGATCAAGATGTGTGTTTTAAACTGGATTCGTAGACTGTTTTTTGAAGGATGGGCTATAAACAGATGATCTTCATATCTTTTCATAGCATGTAATAATAATTAAAAAACAATTATTAATTACTAGGGGAAAGGAGTGTTCGTTCTACCCAGGGTACCACAGTTCCCCACAGTCAAAACCCAAAAGCAAGGAGATGAGTTGAAAGACAGTTTTTCTTTAAGTCATCAGTATGGGATGTCAGCAGAACAAAAATTAAAAAGATTAATTTTCCTTTTGATCTAAAACTTCCTTAGTTTGAGCAGTAGGTGCTACGAAATTATTTACATATCTTAGTATCATAGTTAAATGTAATGTGTTTAGGAGAGGAAAACAAAAGATACATTTGCTTTAAATTCATTAAGAAATTTTGAAATTCACTTTGTAGCCCATGCTGATAGAATTGGGCTGTGTTGGTACATTTGAAACACTGTTTATGTTGCTTGAAACATTTATTTATTTAATCGCCGATGTGATGATGCCTATGGCCGAGATCAAATATAGCTAGATTGGCTAGACTACTTATTTGTTTACTTAAACTATGGGAAGAAGCATATTATTGTGTCATTCTGTTGTGTGTGTATGTGTATATACAATATAAATATATATATATAAAGTTATTTTTTCTTTGGGTTAATTTATTATAAGTTGTAACACTTGGCTAGTTTTGTTTGTATATGTCTTAAAATGTTTTCTTATGATATTTAAGTGACAGTTAAAGAGGTATCAAGGTAACTTGTGTAGAACTATTGTTTGATATATTGTCATGTTTGTTGTGAATATTTTTTCTTACTGCACAGTAGAAAAATAAAAACAACTGAGTCTTTATTTTAATGTAACTCAGATTGGGGAAAACAAACAGAGCTAAGGGAACAAAATGACTGAGGGAGCACTCTCCCACGTCCAGTGCACTGATCATTTTAGTATGTTTGTGCTTTGTACGGTTATATATTTAAAACAAAAACAAAACAAAAAAATACAAGGGTTCATGCTCTTCCCTGGGTAATAGAAACAGTTACTCGCTATGCATAATCTAGTTGATAGTTAAATTTGCTATTGCTTTTCTTGTCTTGTTATATAAAATCTTTTCAATACAAGTTTAGTCTTAATGGTAATAAAACGTTATGGTTATTTATAACTTGTGCTTATTTTGTGCATTTTTTCCCATGCTGAACCCACTAAGTGCATGTAGACAGGACTGTTGTTTTCACACTGAAGAGGCAAACTTTGTAGTAGTCGTCGTAGTGGTAGACAGATTACGAATACCAAGGCTGCATCATAGACTCCTCCTTTAAATTTTTTTTCTGTTTTTTTTTCCTCTTTTCGGTTTTGGATATAACACCAGATTTCAGTTCAGAGAACACTCGTTCAACATTCAGGGAAACCTTTTTACGTCACCTGCTATGAATGAACGCAGTTTGCTGGCAAAGTTTTGATGCATTTGCTAAGCATTAGTGGGAAAGGCATGCCAAAATCTTCTCTATAATGTGTTCAATCTTGGGGGAAAAAAAAAAGGAAAAAAAATCTTAGGACCAGGCAGTTGTATACTTTAGTTATTAATGAATGACTTCATGTTAATCTTGCTAGTTTAGATGATTTCCAAGGGAAAGTATTGTAAATGTTTTTTTTTTTCATAATCTTGTTGTGTTTGAATTATTTGTACTTTATCTGTCCAGACAATAAATGAAAGTGTGTAGAATGGATTTGACTTCCCAAATTTTTAAATGTGTTTATTTACACTTTTTTCCTGTACCATCTTCAGAGTTCCCAATATTTTAGCCCAGTCCCTGAAAGTCAGCTCGATATTCAGAAGTCACTGTTCTGGTTCCATGCTATTAAGTGTGGTGGTCCGCAACCAGCAGTATCAGCATCATCTGGGAGCTTCTTAGAAATGTAGAATCTGCATTTAACCAGAGCCCCAGGTGAATGAATCACTGGTACTTTCAAGTTTAAGGAGCACTGCCCTGGTTGATAAGCCAGAACACTTGGCCTTACCTTTGGTGTTACAATACATTAGCACCTGTTAGTCATTTATAAGAAGGCTTGTGACTTATTCAGAGGACAGGGAGCCACCATTTGCAGAGCATCTATTATGTAACAGGCAGGCTGTATAGTATCCTCTACATTCTCTCACTTTATCCTCAGCAACCCGAGGGATGTAGACAACATTATCCTCATTTCACAGATGACAAGACTGAGGCTCAATAAGAATAATAACTTGACACCAAAAGCAAGTTTCCAGCTAGGATTTGATCCAAGTCTGATTCTACTGCACAGCACTCAGCATTAAGGTTGCAGAACTTGAGCATTAAGAAATATTAAGAAAGCAGACCGTTTGTATTGAAAGTAACAGCTAAGCAAGAAAGGTCACCTTTTTATTTTAGCACTCATTTCTGTTTAAAAGTAGGAAATATTTGACTGTCTTACCTCTGAATAAAAACTCTAAACAAGGAATTACTCATAATGTGTCTAAAGAACATGATTTATGTTCAACCTAGGGAGAAAAATACTGCCTATATTATCATGAAGTCACATTAAAATATGCCCTGAACTTTACAGATTAGCTTTTTAGTGATTTCCTGATACAATCACTCACTGATGATCTACTGCCTCTCATTTTCATTTTCTCACTAACTGAAAATTCATACTCTATAAAACATTGCCATCCATAAACTGACACTTCATGAAATGCCCCCACTGAGCCAGATGAACAAATAGTCAGATTCTCTTCTATTTCTAATTAACCTCTTTTTTATTATTATATTAAGTTACCACATTGGTTGGAATAATTAAATTCAGGGCAAAGAATGGGATTTAATTAACCAAGCTAAATATTAAACCTCTAAGTCAGCCTGAACCTCATATAGTTGAACTTAAAGGTTCTTATTATAGTTTTATCTTAAAGACAAGCCCGTACGCTTCTTTTCTGGAGAAAAAAAAATGGGCATTCAAAAGAACAGTTTCCCACAGGGATAACACAGCTTTACAACCATGTTTGTAGGTCTAAAAATGTTGCTGCCAAACCTATGATAGTTGCCAGTCATCACCACCCCTGCTCCTTAAAGGTGTCATTTTAGTGTACTTTAAATGGACGGCTGCATTATTTTGGAATATCCAAAGTTGGTAGAATCTTCCCAGTTCATGTAGTTCATTCACTAGGTTCTCCTACAGATCTATGTTGAAAATTTTACAAATAGATGTAGGTATTTAAATAGGTCTTGAAAATGTCCATAGAAGACATTCTACATATACTCTCTCAGAAACACTTTCTAGCATTAGCACAATGTGTCTGCCTAACATCTAATAAAAAATTCATCTTCTTGCGAGTATAAGCCTGTTACCTTAAATCTCTAGGCAAACATATATAGTTTCTGTAGGTGCTTATGGAAAAGGTCTAACAAATAACAAGAATACTGAGATTATTACATTTCTTTGAGGTCCTAGGTACATTGTATTTTGCTTGGTTGTGAAATTGCATGTCATAGAAAGCTGACGGCATTTACTTAGTGTTATTTCTGTCAACGTGATAGGAGAAGTGCAAAAAAAAATGTGCTTGTGTCTAAAACCACCCCACATCATCACCATCAACATCAAAACTTTGCTTACTTCTATTACCGAAGATCAAACACTGACCAAATGATGGCTACTGCCAGAAATTTTTACCAGCTGAGGTCCTGTTTAAATGTCTTTCATCAAGATCAATCAACCTTTGTTCATTTGTAAATAAAACATTTTAACCCCCAAAGAATAACATTTAAATATACATTTGAAACTCACAGGGTCTTGTGGCGCCCGTACTCTCCTTGAGTCAGCATTTGGGTGTAGATACTTTTGACCTTGTCAAAATGCAGCACGCAATTGCCTTTGCCATAGGTAATTCCGGAAACTCCCAGTCCTTGAAACTATTTTGCCCTTACTTCCTGTAGGCACTATGCATTTGTTCCTTAACAGACACACACATGCAAACACAAAAGGCAAGTATTTGTGTAATTATGAATTTTTTAACTTTCATCTGTGAATTCAAAAATGATACCTGATAAGATAGTGTTAACAATAAGAGTGTGTTTTCTAAACCAAAGAGTCATTAAAATCTTAACTTGAGGCCATCCTGCCTGGATCCTTCCACAGCCTTCTTGAACGCTCACAGAATACAGCTTCCAATATCCTCGCACCCTTGACTGCCTTTGTTCTACCTAAAGAAGAGAATAATAAAAGGAAATTACATTTTATTTCCATGAGCTGAAATCAAGTTTTAATATTGTCCAGAAATGACTCGTACCATTCCCTTATCTTATTAGCTTTTTGGCGTATTAGGTAATAAGATAATTTCTCATGGTACAGTATTTATGTAAGAATCATATTTCTCTCTGTGCAGATCACTTACAGAAGTGTCTGTTAACAGGAGAGAATGATACATAATCGGCACTTAAGATTAAAATAGACCTGAGAACATAAAAGTGTTCCTTCAATTAAAGGAATAGTGTTTCTCCCATCTCATCCTTTTTGTTTCTGCAGCAGAATGAAAACTGGTTTAAAATCACCCAACCCCGGGTTAATTCCCAGAAGGCTTTTCTATGCAAGTTCAGCTTAATCTACTAGTGGTTCAAATGCAAAGTGGACTCACATGACATTCCAGTATGCCATGTAATTATTTCAAACAATTTTTAGCAAAGTCCTTAAGGTTTAAGAAATTGTTTCTAGAAAGACCAGGGACATTTATTAAGTTTTTCCTATGCCAGGCACTCTATATGTATATAGTGTTAGTGAGGGGTATCATCCCCCTTTTACATTGAACAGAAGGAAACTCAGAGAGGTTAGGTATTTTGTGAACGTGAGTAAGTAGGTGGCAAAGCCAGAATTCAAACCCAGGTCTGTCTGACCCCCAAGATCCCCAGTTATATACCCTGGCTCCAAGTCCATTATGTTAGAATTAGAGCCAAGACAATTACCAAGTGGTCCACACTTCAACTAAAGGTGAGATGAGTCCTATTATGTAGGAAATAAAGGAAATTACATTAATGTACTGTGCCTGAGTCTAACCCTTTCCCCAAATATTTAATGGAAAAACAGACCAAATAACAATGGTTTATAAGCAAATTAACAAAGTAAAAGTAAAAGTGATAGTTTTTAAGCACTGTTGCTCAGCAGTATTTAAAAATGGAATTAGTTTGTCAATAGATCTATTTTAACCACTAAAAATCATTGAGGTAGAAAGGAGTTGAGGATAGGACAGACAGATAAGAAAGTTAATAAGCCAACTTAAGGACCCTCAGAGCTGGCCCCATGGGTCTCCCCAGGTGATAGGTCCCACTGTGATCCACAGAGGGGTCCATTGTGTGGACCAAGAGCACCATAGTGGCCACTCCTTTCACTATCTGCATTGCCTCTGAATCCTCAGAACAATCCTGGGAAGCACATAACATAATCCCCATTTTACATCTGACAAAAACAGAGAAGTTAAATACCTTGCCCAAGATTGCACAGCATGTTGCAGAGTAGGAATTTGCACAAAAGTCATCTGGTTCCGATCCAATGTCTTTCTACAAAACCATATTGATGGCTTTCAATGCGACACCATTTGTTGATCATCTGCCTAGGTCTGAGGTATGGTAGGGTGGGGGTTGAGGTAATCAGCCTAAGCCTTGTCTACATTAGAATCCTTACTCTGAACACCTGCCATATGCCAGATACTGAGCTAGGGGCATAACAACAAATAAACATGTCTAGCTTTTTTTGGTATACCTGTTTTGTGCATGAAATTGTGTAGTGGGTTATGACAGAAAACCAAAAAAGCAGGAAAGGGAATTTAGAGTTCTATTACAAAGACAAGACCTTTGGAACAATGATCTAGCCACAGAGATGTAGCACAGGTAACTTTTGTGTTGGAAGGAGAATTTCAGGAGATTTTGAAAATCTGTGGACAGTGAAAGGAGTATCCTGGGACCCAGGAAGGAAGGAGAGTTTGCCCTGATGGAAAGAGGACTAGCTCTAGTGAAAAGGTTCTGGGTTTGGGTCCCTGGGACAAAAATTTAATGTCTCTGAAATTCCTGATCAGACAAGGGAGGATTAGAAGTAAAATATGCCAAGTTCCTGGCACTGAATGAAGAGTAGCAGGAATTAAACAATAGCCAGAAAGAGTTCCCAGAAGAAGAAAACTTGGGTCAGGCCCTTTGGCAGGGAGAGGTGGGTTTGGTGGATGCCCCTGCATGTGAAGAACCAAGAAATCCTGTTTGAGTTCTTCAAGTGAGGGAGAGAAGAAACAGTAGGAATACATGTGGGAATAAGTTGCTGGGAATCTCACTTGGCCTCATGGAACTTAAGCTGCTTTTGAAATACAGTAACTCCAGCCACCTAGCAGCAAAAGCTCTGATTGCCCTCAGCAACCAGAGACCCTATTGGTCCCTCCTCTGGTGTCTGGCCATTACAGTGACTCAGTCACTCCATCTCATTCACCCCTGAGAATTAGAACGCTGGGAGCATCATGGAAGAGTCACAGGGACTTCGCCTCAGGGTAAAGGAGTGGAGGCCACACTAAGGAGCTTAGGTGGGCAGTAGCGGAAAGGGAGAGCACAGGAATAAAAGGAAAAGGGTTGGTCACGCAGGCTGAGGCAGGAAACATCTTTAGGAAAGCAGAGTACAAGAAGGCTTTTGAGCAAGGAAGTGAGGTCTCTTCGTTCATAAATATCTAGTAAAGGGCAAAT